TTAATATTTAGATTTAAAAGCTTGTTGGAGTTTTGAATTTTGAATTGAGATTTTAATTTCTAAATATAAATTGAAAATCTAGTTTTTTTTAGAGTTATGGTTGATATACACTAACTTCTAAATATAATACTCTTCTTTAATTTGCATTACTTTTATTATAGTCCTACCTAAACTCTATGATTTTTAACGTGATATCATCCTTTTTTTTAATTTATTTTTATTATCTATAACCAAAATCATAAACTTTAATCGGCTGAAGGTCATGCAGGTTGCATTTCCAAAATTAGAGGAGTTGCAATTGTCTTGGATTAATGTTGACATCATATGGTATACTTCGATAACATCTTCTTACATTGAGAAATTGACGAAGTTGATCATTGAGAACTGTGATAATTTGGAATATCTATTCACATCTTCTATGGCTAGAGATCTGGTAATGCTTGGACACCTTGAAATAGGGGGATGCAAGAAGATGGGAAAGGTTCTTTTTACAGAGAATGAAGCAGAAAATGGGAATTTGATTTTCCCTCAATTGAGGATTCTAGAGATAAAAAGCCTTCCAAAACTCGAAAGATTTTGCCATGGGAATTACATCAAATTCCCCTGCCTTTCGCGACTTTTGATCAAGAGCTGCCCTGTATTAAAGACGTTCATCTCATCAAGCTCTAGTTTTGACACTGGTACACCTCCTCTATTTGATGCAAAGGTAATTTCTTCTTTCTGGTTTTTCTTTATTTTTCACTTATTAATATCTTGTGATACTACTTTATGGGTCGCCTCATAAAGTTTTACAATCTTTTGAAAATTAGATTCCAAAAATTTTCATTCCATTCTCTCTCTAACCCTGTTTAGTTTTTTTAATACGATTTGGTAAATCTCTAGGTGATATTCCCCAAACTAAAACAATTAACAATTAAAGTTATGGAAAGCATGGACAAGATATGGGACAACCAACTTGATGCAAGTTCTTTTTGCCTACTAAATTATCTTCGTGTGTATTCGTGTAAGAAGCTACTAAATATTTTCCCATTTAGTATGCTGGAAAGGATTCAGAGACTAGATAAGTTAGAGATAAGGAGCTGTGATTCACTTGAAGAGATATTTGAGTCTCAAGGGCTTGATGCTGGCCAATCACAAACTCAAAAATTCACGCCACCAACTTTGATGGAATCTGTTGCAAAGTTTGAGTTTCCAAAATTGACACAGCTAGATCTTTCTTTTCTGCCCAAACTGAAGGTCCTATGCCATCAAATGCATATAGCTGAATGGCCATCATTGAAAAAATTGAATGTGTGTGGATGTAAACAACTAAAGATATTTGCTTCAGAATTCTCAGGCTTCCCAAGAACAAATGAAGATGACCAACTTGAAGTTGATATTAAATATTCCCTTTTCTGGACAGGCAAGGTAAGAGCTCTAAACAATAATTCAAAGAAAGTTTGCTCAGGTGTATGCTGTACTTGCATTAAATTAAAGCTTTTCTCCTGTCTGAACATATTCATAAGCATAATCTATAGTACTCTTTCTTTGTATTTTTTCTTTATGGGTTGCTTAAGAAAACTGAACCTTTTTTTTTTTTTTTTTTTAATTTATAGAGATAATATTTTCTATAAATAAGAATTATTTATATTCCATAACCATATTTGCATCCTCCTTCTTTTATTCATTTTTTAATATCTTTTTATTTCCATATTTCAGGCTACATTCCCCAGTCTAGAAGAACTGAAATTGGCATATAATGATAATATGAAAGAGATATGGCATGGGCAGCATATGGGGGATTATTTTCCCAAACTAAAAGTTCTTGAGCTCATCCGGTTCCCTGAGCAATTAGTTACCCAGCCTTTTGTCTTTCAATCTCCAAATCTTGAAAAGCTTCTTGTGAGTAGAGCTCCCTTTCAAGAAATATTCAAATGTCAAGGACTTGGTGGTGTGGAAAAACCTGCACCTGCACTTATTCAATTAAGTGGATTAAGTTTGTCTGAACTTCACGAGTTAACATGTCTCTGGAAGGAAGAATCAAATTTGGAATCAGTTTTCTCTAACCTGAAAATTCTTGAAGTGCTGCGGTGTAGAAAATTAAAGAATTTAGTGCCATCCTTCATATCTTTCAAGAATTTGACAACTTTGGAAGTATCTGATTGTCATGAACTCATAAATTTAATTGAATACTCAACAGCCAAAAGCATGGTGCAACTCACAAGAATGGGTATAAGTGAATGTCATATGTTAAAAGAAATTATGGCTTGTGTGGATGATGAAGCGAAGGATGGCATTGTCTTTAGCCGACTCAAGTATTTGCAACTTTGTGGTCTACCAAGATTGGCAAGCTTTTGCTCGGGGAGCTGCAGCTTTGAATTCGAATCTTTGGAAGAAGTAATTGTGATGGGTTGCCCAAATATGAAGATCTTCTCTCACGGGGAATGCAGCACCCCTAAAAAATTGCAATTAGTGAAATTGACAAAATATGGAGATGAAGGGTTTTGGGAAGGCAACCTTAATTACACCGTACAAAAGATGTTCATAGAAAAGGTATGCATTAATTCAAAATATTTCCCTATGTTTTCTGGCTTAGTTTCCACGTTTTATGTACTACTTCTAGCCCTTTGTTTGTTGAATTTGTTTGGTAAAATGTAAACTTTGACCAATAGAAAAGCAGATCAAGTTTTTGTGCAAAAGAATGAATTGAATGAAAAGGAATTATCAACACTTTGTTAGTTAAATTTGTACACCGTGGCACGTGTACTGACATTTGAAATATGTATTGACAAAACATAACATTTTGTGTATTTACAAGAAATGAGATTAAATGTCTTGGTATCTATAGAACTAGTGTTGGGAACCATTAATTAGAAAACCTATTCAAAGCAATTAACCATGGTTTTGCGCAAGTAAGAGACTGACTTTTTTTAGTATGGTTGTAATTTTGGTTTTTAGCTTTGTTTTATTATAAACTTCGAAATTTTAAATAAAAAAATTTAATTACTTTCATGTATTATTGAAGTATATCATCATGATCATTAGAGAAATAAATATAAAAATAGTTTTTATATTATTAAATTAGTTTATATTTTTTATT